AGGGAGCAGGATTTGTAATTATATTTAAAGAAATTAAAGGTATTTCTGGTCCTTGCTCAGCTTGTCCTCAACACACCTTTCCAGAGCAGATGGGAGATGCTATTTTGAAGCCTTATTAAAATTGGGTTTAAAAATAGGCTTTGCTCTATAATTTATGCTTCCTTAGCACTGATTCACACTTAGCCACTTCAGTTCCTCCTGCATCCTGGTCCTGCAAGACTTAAGCAAAAAGCTTGTGTTCCTGGTGAGAAATTCCAGGCAGTGCTTCTTCTGTGACCTCTGTTCTCTCTCTTGTTGCAGGCTGAGCTGACTTTCAGTGCTGGAGATGTTATCACTGTGTTTGGTTCCATGGATGATGATGGATTCTATTATGTAAGTGCAGGGATTGGGAAGGTCCTGTGGCTACACTGGAAGTTGTTGGGAGTTCAGAGAGTGGCAGGAAAGCAGAAATCAGGGAACAAAGTATTCTGCTTTTGGAAAATAGAGAAGAGCAGATTGTTTCTGGCAGTCCATTTCCTGTTGTAAAACTCATGTCATACAGTCATGGAATGGTTTGGATTGGAAGGACCCTAAAGCTCATCCAGTCCCCTGCACCTGCCTTGGGCAGGCTTCCACTAGCCCAGTTTGCTCCAAGCCCCATCCAACCTGGCCTGGAACACTCCCAGGGATGGAGCAGCCACAGTTTCTCTGGGCAATCTGTGCTCTGCCAATGCCACCCTTATAGGGAACCATTCCTTCTTAATATCCCATCTGTCTCTGCCCTTGGTCTGTTTGAAGTCATTCCCTGTGTCCTGTCCCTCCAGGCCTTGTCCCAAGTCCCTCTGCATCTCTCTTGGAGCCCCTTTAGGCACTGGAAGGGGCTCTGAGATCTCCCTGAGGCTCTGAGCCTTCTCCAGGCTGAACAGCCCCAGCTCCATAGCAGAGGAGCTCCAGCCCTCAAATCATCCTCACAGCCCTAAAGTGTTCCAATGCTTCTGAGTTTATTTCATGGAATTACTTCCCTGCAGCTTTCCCAAAGCCTCACACACCTGAACTGAACCAGCACCTGCTCTGAGCTGATCTCTCACCAAGCACTGAGCTTGGGCAGGAGGCTGACATGGGAACCCAGGAATTCAAACACATTCCTGGGCCTGTGCTGGGTGCTAAACACAGGCTTTGGCCCTTGGATCATCCACCCTTTCCTGCATGGAAAACTGTGTCCGTGCAGAAGCTGAGGTTTAGCTCCAGGTTAAGTCTGAGGGGATCACTGGGAATATTTAGTTTGATCTTTTAGAGTGTTGGACAAATGTTACCAGAGTGAGG